GATTGACTGATCAGAACATAACATAATAATTATCAACCTTGCACTCTTCTGCATCTTGGGAGATAGGAGTTTTAGAATGGAGGGGTCATGATGAGGAAAGCTGGGCTTGGGTGATTGACTGATCAGTAGAGAACATAATAATTATCAACCTTGCACTCTTCTGCATCTTGGGAGATAGGAGTTTTAGAATGGAGGGGTCATGATGAGGAAAGCATTGGTGGGCTTGGGTAGCGACGAAAATGACCCATCATTTGGGACAAATATGGATAGACAGGCAATTAGCATTGCGAGGATGGACTATGGGGAGTCATTGTCCATCGATCGCCCAGAAGACAACTACTGGATTCGTGAAATTATGGTGATGTGTGCGGACGGACATTTGTTCCTGGGGTAATGAGGTCTACTAAAACCTGCGGTCCCCAGTTAGATCATAATAATAACCAAAGACAGTGAGATATCATCAGGTCTGACTGTTTCAGTTATCCATGTAGTTAAACAGTTAAGATGTTTTTCGGATATGAAGATGAATAGTAACACTCAGGCTTGAAGGATGAGTTGAGTGAGGCTGAAAGCCATATCACAGATAAGGAAAGACCATAGGGTAGCCTTACGCAGCGAGCGGCTTTTTGTATTTGAGATGTTGTAGCTTATTTGCTAAAATCGGATGCTGAAGATTACAAGAGAGTCAGTTTACGAGCGCAAGCACAGGATATGTAAATCGGGGTCTGTTAGCAAAGCCCCTATTCGACAAATGTGCTATTGAGTGAGGTATGTATGGTTCCAAGTTGCAATGAAGGCAACGGAGCCATCGCTCCTACGAAACATCGGAAAACAAAAGCGAAGTGAAATTATGATCCGATGGTCTAGATGAGCAGGTTTGCCCACAAGCGCCCGCTCAATCACTATATCTTTGCTGAGACTACATCCATGGGTACACGTTTTAAGGTCCATGTAGTCCTTAAATCCTAGGGCTGAAGTCCATACGGCTTGATTTTCCGACTGCCTTGTACACACCCAACCCACGCCCCACACGCCCTTTGGCGGTGGTTTTATAACTCATATATTTCGGTCCACAGTCTTCCATTTATAGTTTTCAAGCGCGGTTCTAACGATGAAGGTCCGTCATTGAACGTTGGGTTAGGCTATCTTCAGTAATCGAGACCGCCTTATCACTGGGGCGCATAGTTTACCTCAAGTAACCGGAGTAAGCGGCTCGGTAGTTAAAGCACAAATTTACTTACCTGAAGGTCCGTGGTTTGAACCAACAACTTCATCCCGACTGTTGTCTAGTCTTGGGAAACATGATAGTATCTTAGTCCTATTGTTTCCTTCTTGTAGCATGGCATCTAGGTGTAGAGTGGGTACCGCAGCTGAACGACTATTATTGTTACAAGATAAGCGACAATGCGCAGAGTCATGAGTACGAGGGGTCGTCTTTGGCCGTTGGATTAGGCTGTCATACACAGTTGAGACATCGTGATCAGCGGCACGCACAGACACGGGCCTAGTAGTTACAATAAGTAGCCAAGCCAAGCAAAAACGAGTACGGCTGCCAGGATGGAGTTGATTGGCCTTATTTTTCAACAGTTTAGTTGCGATTTGTACGTAATCAGGCTTAATGATTTACTTTTCAATGGGATAGTACTCGCACCGGGATGGTTGCCATGCGTATGTAGATATCTGAAAACGCGACATCATCTCCTCACTAGCTGTGAATCACTTAGAATGGGGACCATTCACAGAGGGCCTTATAGGTACCATTGATGTGAAATGCACCAAGTTGTTTTCGATTGTTAAACTGCACGCAAGGCAAGTGTTCCGAAACACTGCGTTGTACCGACATTCGGTGAACAAACTGCTTTATTCAGCTAAATTGTTCCGCCCGAAGAGTATAACGGATTTAAAGTTATTCTAATTTGGGTTCAAGTAGAACATGAGGTTGACGGAAACTCGGGGACTGCGCCTACCTGATGAGCCTTAAGCGGAAGGGTGAAACCGGTCGTGGGCTGTCGAAGAGTTTTCAGGAACCTTGTGGGTAGTTCCCTTCATGAGGATATCATTAATATTATTCAAAAATCTTGTCCAGAGTACGGGCCTCTTCACCGACCTCCAAAGGATGGAAACAGATGCACATAATTTATCAGATGGTTTGTCAACTTTGTCTTTTAGGGATTCCCGTCTTTAATTTTTCCGAAATTGTTAATTTTGGTGAAGATATATGAAGGTTGTGCACCAACCAACAGTAAAAGCCCAAATACAGATATGGCGTGCTTAGGACAGTATAAGTTGTCAGTGGAACCTGTTCAGAATTCGAACCCACCTACTTTGGCGTTCCTGGTGTCACCTGTTTGACGATGCGACTCTTGGAACCCGCCTTCAAGCGTAACGGTTATTCAAGCCACATATTAGTCAGGTACGAAGGCCGTACAGATGAAGCACATGGCGCAGAATACACCATGAACCATACTGGGATAGCTAAGATGGACAAACAATAAGCCCCGAAATTGTGCACTGTTCCAGTTACGGGGGACCGAAATGGCTCAGTCGGAAGCTTACGTTTTTGTTCGGTGTCGCTAGAAATATCTTCACCAGTAGTACGGGAGTGTTTGCGGATTTGGTAGTTCTGCAACACAGCCCATCTGTCCTCGTTCAAAGCTGACTTATTCGATTTCCAACTATGTGGCCACAGCCGACAAATGAGATTTTCTCATGAAGTGGATGTCAGTTACTTTGTTAAGCACGTGAGTGGGGAAATCCTGGTTTTGTCCTGGTTGTGACACACAGGAGAGTTATAATTTCTTTGTAATCCCTGTGGTAGATTAGAACCCATAATGCGTTGTCTATGTTCATCCCTAAGGTTTCCACTTCAGCGATGCGCTCCAAGCGACCAAAATGACCCATCATTTGGGACAGAGTGCTGGAAATCCTGATTTTGTCCTAGTTGTGACACACAGGAGAGCTATAATTTCCTTGATATCCCTGTGGTAGAATAGAACTCATAATGCCTTGTCTATGTTCGTCCCTAAGGTTTCCACCTCGGCGATGCGCTCCGCTCAGCATACAAGACCGCTTCCTGAAGCCCTTCCTACTTTCTGTCCAAAGGAGTTACAATGAAAGCTTTTTCTCTGGGAAACACGGTATTCGCCACATAGAACAACCATAGCGGGATGGTTGTCATTCATTTGTGGTTCAACCAACAAGTACCGAGCTCTACTGCAATGCATAATCACGCGGACACCGCGACAACAAAGCAAGCAAACAGATCCACAGGCCGATCAATTCCAAGCACTAGCAGGTACATTTGGGTAGCCAAAATTTCATGCGCAAAACTAAACAGTTGCTTTTGCGGGGAGTCAACTTAGGTATCAACCAAGCCAGTGCGGAAACGTTTAACGATTAAGTGGAGCGGGGCTGTATGGCATCACCCATTTCAATGATGCTGTTACTGGCGATGCTAGCTCGGCGGTAAACTTAAAGGATATCGTTCAGGAGGGAAAAGTAGTCATTTCAGATCCAACAACCACCATGACTAATGATACGGACGAAGCTTAAGAAGCTCTAGGTGATCCTCCACATTGGACAAAATGATGGCAGGTCAACAAACGCGATCGCGACCACAGAACAGCCGATATTGCTGGCTTGTCTGTATGTGTGACTTTACATATGACTTATATGTCTTTACATCCACCATGTGCAAAAGATGGAAATATGCAAACTCTGGCCAACCGGACATATCCTTCCGAGTCCCATTTGAAATATGTAGATAAGGACGAAAAACTTCAATTCAAGGTATGTACTTTAAGTTAACCAATGAAAAAGGAACTGCGGCATCAAAAATTACGTTGCTGCCTGAATTTGAAAACCTGAAACAGTTGGGCGCCAGTTCTTTGAACAGCTGGAATGAACTAAAAACACAAGTCATCGAAGCAATGGCACTTCAGAGAACAAATGCAAGAACGAGAGGCCAAAAAGCAGGATCAAATGCGCGGATAGAATCGTCTTAAATAACAACCCTAGATGGTATTAAGAAATAAGGTATGAGAACACCGACAAATTCCAGAGGACAAGGCATCAGGGAAAGTGAGAGGAGGCAAATCCGAGAAACCGAACCAGTCAAATGCGACTGGGTGATACCGATGGGTTGAGAATGAAAGATCACACAAAAAGGCACAAAACTGGTGAGTATGATTTGCGATAGTCTAATCAAGTTCCGAGTCATCCGTCTCTTCAATCACAGATTGCTGTAATGACCAAAGGAAGCATGGAACGATGTCAACAGATGAAAGACGTCACCTAGTGAAAACATGTCGAAAAATCGTGATATTAACTTCCACATAATTTTCTATCCAAGTAAGACTAGTTGGATCCTTATTTACAGACACGAAGAGTGAAACGGTCAAGTGATAGCTCATGTCTCCGGGAGCTCTTGATCATTTATTCAGCTAACTATGGGCCATCCTATTTGAAGAAGAGTTCTTGGTAGTCACCTTAAATGTGTGTAATGGGTCTCCGGGTGAAGTTTTAAACAAAAGACCGCCAATAAATCCACCGATATTTATGTCAGATTCGGTCACAGACTGCTATAGGGCTTAACCCCATCGACTTAGTGTTTCGAGGTTGACAAAAAACGCACCACAGGCACCGGAGCTATTCTGTATTCGGAACCTGCTCGAGAACCACTAACTCTAGTTTCCTCGATAAAAAGCGGCCTTAAACAGGGGTTGCTTAGTAGTATTACTGTGTAGCACTTTAAAGCCAACAAGAAACTGTACCTATTCATTCCATATGATTCCCTCAAACTCAAACAAGATTTGCAGATCGTATGCTTTAGCACAACTACAGATCAGTTGCATCGAAAACGAAAACCGCTAATTTCATATGGGGGGTTTGATTGCCATGCAGGTCTGATTTCGTCGTATACGTGAATGAACGAGGGAGTGAAGGGGTCAGCGAACGAGGTGAGACGCCATGGCTGATTTGTTTTCAGAGCTTAGTCGGAACTTTGTTGAAGAACTTACCCATCCGCCACGAGCATAGACCCAATCAGCGTACCAACGGAAGAAGAAGGTGATTGTGAAATCTTTGATACGTTCGACGCTCGCACGGCAATGACCAATCTCAGCGAGAGCAGCAGGTGTTGTTCGTATAGGTGATTGTAACCTCGAACGTTCATCATGCATTCTAGGAAAATAGGGGGACACGATAGAGTGGGGAGAAAGTTTAACACCCCATATCTTAGACATTCACAATCAAACAGTACGACATTTAAACAGTTCAGTGAGAATGATCGGATTGAGGCAAGCAAGCTGTTCATACTTAAGGGTTCTGTTAAAACCAGCAATTTTACGAATACTGAAGGCTCTTCATGGCTTTTTTTGTATAAATTGATGCGAAAACTTGTTACGGGTTTTCGATTGAGAACAGATACTATCGACTTGCTGGAGTTTCACCGTAAGGGTGTTCCGCATACAGCAGCATCCACTTGATGAGAAGTGCCATCCGTTTGTTTAATCGTTTGCCAAGGGTACAAGGTGGTATGCAGAAGACTTTAAGAAATCTCAGTCACGTTGAGTTTTCACCACATTTCTTCAGTGGTCAGCTATACAATCAGCAATCTTCGGCAATTCAGAATGAACAATGGTAGACTCTTCAGAGCGCATAATACACATGGAATCCGATGAACTGTAGCTGGTTCGGAATATCCTCAACAGACAAACCACTTGGTTCCAAATGAACAGCTTTCCATCTTAAAATAACATTTTCTCAGTTTCACTTCTGTGTACTCGACTGAAGAATGCCATCATTTCCTCCCATCTATGCCATCATTCTTCCGTTTGCAGCTTCACGCGGCTCACCGAGTATTGCTCAGTAGTACTAGATTTGCATGCGGTTGTGGTACCCCTACAAACGTACAACCATAAAACCGCATTGACCGTATAGCAGTTACCACTCGGTATCGAGGCTCTGTCCTTGACTACCAATCTTTCTGGGCCACTCACGGTGATTCAGATTATGCCCCCGGACGAGTAGACCGAAGAAACAAATTCCGTAATAAGTCATTAGAAAACTTTCTGACCCGAGTCAGACAGACTTATCGAACTAGCCTATGCGAAGCTTTCAAAGCAACCTCTTCAGATGTCAGTCACGATTGGGAGATGAGCACTATTCAGCAAGGAATTCGACATTAGTGCTTTCGAAGGCGAGCAAAATGCACACTGCAGGTCCGAATGGTCAGCGTCACTTCGCGATGAGAGAATTCATTTACCCTCGAAGACTAGTCATAATTGGGCTGGAAGGGCCACCAGGCATGGGGGTAGAAAAAGCTGGCTTAATTGGAAGACCGAAAACGGAAGAAAACTAATGTAGCTGGGAAGGCCTGGAATTTTTTAAACTGACAGGAAAAATTGGATCAAAAGCCCGACTGTTAGTGAAGTCATCAAGGAAATTACTGACAATTTTGTAAACAACAAGAACCGACACCATGGTCGTTGGTATTAATATTTCGAATAGTTCAGTTGGCCGCCTGTGTATGTACCCAGCATTTTCATTCAGGCCGCTCAACTCGAGCCATGGTCAGTGAATCTCGTCGTTCTCTCAGTTTCTGAGGCACTTTCTACCTTGAGCCACTGGGCCGAATGAACTCCAACCAGCGTCGTACGAGGACGGTGGAGTCTGTGTATCCTGTCAGACTGTTTAAACTAATTCAGCTTCAGCTTCCCTGACCTCATCACGCGAGAAACAAGTTCGGGAGCATCAGGAAGGAGTTCGACCAGATAGGCCACACTAACATCCTCTGGTTACGTCAAGCGCTTGAGGAGCATCACACACTGCCGACGAAATGTGACGAACTGCCATGACAGCAAAGAACTCGACGGATAGTCTGGATCTTCCAAACACATTTCACCGGAGGAATGCACTCGAGGTTTAATTTTCATCGTGCCAATCTACCTCATATTTCAGGTGGCACTGGAGTTTACGATGATCCTCCAAAGGTTTCCCATGAAGAACGGGGTTTGACAGAGATGTTCCTCTCCTCATTTTGTCTGATTTGTAATCACTAACAAGGAGTGATCACCGTCACCAAGGGATCGCGAATCTGCGTGTAGAAGTCAGATAGATTCCTGGACTAAATAATTCGGATGACATGGTTACCCTAAGTAGAATACCGGTATGTAGTTTGCAATTCCAAAGCTCAAGGTCTTGCTTCAGGACTTCCTACACCTATGTACCTCTTTGAAGGTTCAGAAAAAGGAGCTTGAGTTCACTTATATTAGTAGTTGCATAAGCCGCAACCGCATCGTGATAGATGGAGGCAGTCACCAAGGTAAGAGCAATATTTGCTAAATCGCTCGACTTTGACGTAAGAGACAAATAACACCGAGGTTAAAGGGCCGTGTCTACCGCTACAGTGTGCCTACACTGTAATCATCAAACATGGCTCCTCAAACGCCTTTAGATATTTGATCACCACTGCCTTTACAATATAGAGAACGTTAATTACTACAAACGCAATTAAACGGTTCGTTGACGAGTACCGTAACGTAATGTACCGGATTCGGTGGAGCAGCACAGAGAGATTGTCAGATGAAGGTAGATGGTGCATGCATTGCGAGTGCCTGAACACAAACGACCAAGGTAAGCTGCTTCCAACTCCAGAGCTTTGTCGTCGAGACGTGGTAGTGGGTAGGGTTCGCGTGATTCGCCTTCCGTGTGATTGGAGGCGCTACAAGACCTGGTCGTTAGACGATCCGAGCGACGAGCTTGCTGTCACTTCTTGGCTGGCCCATCTACCTAACATCTGCTTATCTGGGTTTGCATCGAGTAAGATTCGCAAACGACGTTGGGCCATTCCCGCTGATGGAGTCTCGCCCAAACACGATGCTCAGCTGAGCTTTTTGATGGTTTTTGAAGGCGCATGTACCTCGCTGTTGAACGTTTTCCCTATGGACATACGGCTTCTTACAATAAATCACCACTCTTCTCCCCAACTTTGACTATGGCATTCTTCCTCAGTGGTTGTCTGACAAATAAGCATCAGTTTCCACTACGAATGTATTGCTGTCTGTGATGACATTCACCTTCTCAAAGGATAAGCACGCAACAACCGGCAACAACTCGCGGAAAACCCAACAGGCAAGCGTTTAAAGCTCAAGACAGTACTCTTTGGAAATCATCCAGTAAGCAATCGTGTTCGTACGAAAAGGTGTAGTTAGAACAAAGGTCATAGACAAAACTTGGCACGCCATATATATAACCTGTAACGCACAACAATGCACCGGCAGTTTAGCAGCTTGAAACTAAACCACCGGAAGGTTAATGAATTGAAACGTATGGAAAGAGATGTGAATTATAAAAGACACTAAACTAGCAGCTTGTCTGGCGGCGTTTCGCAGCTTTACGTTTGTTTTCCCTTAGCAGGAGCGTCCATAGTTCTTATATGGATTTCAACAACAAACAGATTGGGAGATGAAAAGTTCCAGAAACGCAGGCTTCAGTGGTGTTGTAAGGCAAGTTCAGGACACAAAGAGCATGTTGCAATGGCTGTGGGGAAAGTAGACCCTCAATAAACGTCACCTGTCGATCAAGGTGTTCAGCTGTAACACCCTCTAGCTGCTTAACTGTCATGCCACCAGAGGACAGCACCAGGGCTGGGATATTGTTAGGTTGCCCAAGCCTAGGCAGGGGAAGTAGAGAGGCAAAGGTTGGGTTCGAACTACGGACCTTCCGTTCAGTAAATTCGCGCTCTCGCCCCTTGATCAAAGTGTAGTCCAGTTATTAGTTCTGACGATTTCCAAAAGATAACTGGGCAACCTTGATTACCTCTAAAATCATATCTGTGCCATGCGCGCTTTTTAAGCGACAACAGGGGTATCAGTTAGGGTGAGAGGTCTAGCCTTCTCTGAACTCGCCAAAATTTTGCGTCAATCCCGTATGTTCGATGATGCGTTAAATTAACACCAAATAGTATCTATTCAATGTTCACTATCCTCGCTGGCTAAGGTATGCTCTCCAAATTCCGACTGACTACCACACCAAGAATTACTTGCAAGCTGTTCTAACATGGGAAACACCATCTAGTCTCCCTAGATCTAGTTTGAAACTTCTTTTTCGTCTGCGGATATCTAACTCAGTGGTAACACGGGGTAATTCTTACTGCTGAAGATGACATTTCTACTCTCGTTTACATTTTGACACATTATTTTAAACTAAATTAGCTTAGCTATATGGTTCCCAAAATGCGTGGTCTCAATCATCCCAAAACTGTCCACTGTTGTCATAAAAACGCAACGAACTAGGTGAAAGGAACTCACACAGTAACACAAGTTGACGCTTCTCCGCTGGCAGTAAAAGAGGAACTGTGTCTGAAAGTATTCAGCTGATTTACGGGTTCGGTTGATTTGTTCAAAGAATCCAGCTTGGAAAAATGGGAATTGAGTAGATGCCGTACCGCACAACGGGCAAGATAGTAGAGGATAGATATCTGATGCCAGCTTGGTTGTCGACCCAACAATTCCAACATGTCTGCCTCGAATGCCGGATAGTTTGTGTGCGCGACCAAACGATTTAACAGATCAACGCAAATATCTATCTAGAGATAAGTTAGTGTAGAGTTTGGCGTTAAACAGAGAGGAAGAAAGCACGTGGATTCTAAATGGGATAATCGGTCTGACGATGGAAGAGTAAAGCCTTAGTAACCTGGTTACCATGAGAACAAAAACAGTGTATGGATCTACATTCAATAAACAGAGACGGATTTGGTCGAGCACATACAATAGATCCTAGATAAGTCTATTTATGGGACATAAAAAGACGCATGGAGCTAGAAAAATTTGAGAGATATAATTATTCTGAAAGATTTCCCGGAGGGCTTATAAAATAAAACTTCATCCTCTGTTTAAATAGGCTTCCCCGGACAATATATGGGAGGGAAGTATTCAAGGATGATTAAAAGCATCAGAAGTCGCACTCAATATGCAGTAGATTGTATGAGGGGCCAAGTCAGTCCTACGCATCCACCCTTATTCGCATCCTGCCCTTACATCAATGATAACACTAGATCCGTAGCTCGAGTTCCATTCGCCATCTATTCGAAAGCCAACATGATGGTATCAGAGGGAAATGAGTCTAGTTTTCTTCCAAAAAGCCGTGAAAATAGGAAGACGGTTCCCATTATAAAATTGTTCTCGGCAGAGTAGAATATTCGCCTTTGCAGATGCAGTTATCTTATTTACAGGCAGACTTGTGCAGTACGTAAAAAATCACCATTTTCAAACAATATGTAGCTGCTTCTTGCGCACAGATTCTTGCGCTGAGTTCAATCATTTGGTATCTCTTGCAGATAACCCTAATCGGGTATGGGGCGCTATTTTTTGCAGGAAACCTGTAACGATCTAACGCATTCGATTGTGGCTCCATGGGTTATCGCATCAATTGTGGGGAGCTCACTAAAAAACACTGGTCCACGAAGTCACGGATTTCAACTAGGAGTTAACAACCGAACAGGCTCCAAAAACACAAATTTCACACGGTACCGTCGAACACTACCGCATCAGATTCATAACGAACAATTAAGATGGGTTACCGTAATCAAAGCAATGATTTTATGGATAAGGCAGTCAACATATCTTTACTGTTTTGAAATAGAAATATCAGTCTACCAACGTAAACTGTCCGATATAAACTCCAAGTAATAATGAAGAAAAATCACGAGAACTGACGAACACATTGAATATTCTTATAGTTTCAACAAGATCATAGAATGATGAACATTAACGTTTTCGTTTTCAGATCGATACGTACGTAATCATTAAAATAGGAATAAGTAGTGAGACAAACAGCTAAGATTCGTTGCTAAATTAAAAACGCGGAGACGCGGACAACCGGTTGTCAATGGAACCCATGTAAGCTCATCAAGAGAATCACTGAGCGACTGGATTAGTTGATCCGTCGCTCGCCAAGGTAGACTGGTAGTTCGTACGAGTGGTTTTCGATAGTACAACACCGGATTTCGCGATCATGTTGCAACTGTTTCGGTTGTAGTCAGGCAACGCCGTTGGAACGGTACTGTAAACCCATTAGGTTCTTGTTAGATAACGTGGAACGACTAGCTTAAGTTGATCATGGACACAGTCCAGCGTTTCCCAAGCCATTGAATACAGTGATCTTCGGCAAGAAAGAAGTTGTCGTGTCGTGCGCCAAAAATATTCCACTGCCGGTGTGCTTCATTTCGGAGGCCAGTGTATCCGCAGAGTAGATTCGCTTCGCTCGGTTCGCTTGAGTGTAAGTTAGGGTACGTTTCGGCCTGAGACACAAAACTCTAGAATTTGTGTACCGTACCGTCTAAGCGGGATTTCTTGAGACAAAACTCAAAATTAAACCTGTGAGTAGACGTCCAAGAAGGGGAATGCGTTTTCACCTTCGGTTTCAGAAGTAAATTGAATATAGTGGTGACCTGGTTAAAGTAGTCTCTTTCGGATCTGTTTGATATCAGCCGGCCAAGCCATAGAAATGTCATTGAACCAGAGGACAGCCAGTCGATATGATGGTAAAATGTGAATTTAAGTTAGAATTGTAGGTTAACGGTCCAGCGTAAAAGTAATATCTTCAAGAATAGGGAGGGGATTTGGGGTGTAAAATCTGATGACTCAGAGTGATGACAGATAGAATTTCCAGTCTCCATGAATCGAACGCTCGTAAAACGGTATACTACTTCCAAGCAGCATTTAAAATTGGGACGAAAATCAACTTTTTCATCAGCTCCACAAACTGAAACGTGTTAGCGAGACCATATTGGTATAAAAGTTGGCCTACGGGTTCCCAAAGCTCGACCAGCGCTTGACTGACATAGGTTCCAGCAGGACACCTTACTTATGGATCTTATAGTGACCATAAATTCGTGAGATTATGATACCGACAGGCTTGAGACGTTGGACTAAGACCTCAGAAGATAGGCTGTCATTCCTCAGGCTTGTCAGACAGCCCTTGTGTTTGGGTCCCGTCTTTAGTCTCTTTGATTTATCAATAAACATTAGTCGTCTACAGCATTACTTATCCCCATGTTGAACACAAACCATGTACTGACCAGATGTCAAGATCGCAAAAACATTCCTTTGTTACCCTGTTCTTTTGGATACACTGAATGTCACATTCTGTACACTTTCTATGATATTGCGGTGAAAAAAGTTCGGATATCAGAAAAGTCATTATGACGTTTCGTTCTCCCTATTTCCTCCGACCTTCAGCAAGGTTAATGGAAAAGCTGAAGCTATCTTTTGTAGATAGACATTCCTCTAGTTCCACGACGTTGAGTAACTATTCACCCTTATGTTTGTAGATAGATATAATAATTCCATGTTTCTCTAAAAAAAGAACTGTACGAACGTACATCAGTAGACGGTTTGAATCTGGTCAACTGAAGTGAATGGGACTCTTGTTTCATCGATTATAGTAGCTCGGTTGTGTTGGGCAAGGAAGACCCCCGTTCATGGAGCTGTCTGCTCTGTTCCAACCTATATTTAGAGCCGTTCTTGTGAGCGTTCCGAAGCACAAAGTCAAGGGAGTTCATTAGACGTGACGCGGTTCACGAAAACGGTTTTCACCTTCAGACTGAACAAATGGCTTTACGTAAATAAAGTGATTTCGGTATCCAGTTGAGTACTAATTCGAGAAGATGGGACAAATGTGTGAAAATCGACACCACAAGGAAGCCTACCGGATCACCATTATCCTGTTTCAGGTTCAGGTCAAGCCTACAAGCACAGTAACCCGCGCTGCTGAAGTAGTTAGTTAGGTTATGCGGATGTGTAAAAGTGCATGAGTCACTACGACCAGTTGAACACAATGTTCAGTCTAATGGGCACACACCTTTTTTCGCTGCTCGAGTCTGCGAGCTTGCGCTAACATGGAATGTTTCAATAGACGTTTCTCTGTTGGAAACCGGGCACTGTTGATTCGTCTCAATTTACTGGAGCGGGTATGGTTTTCATTAACATCAGAATTACGGTGAACAAGGAGTTCTGTAGAAGAGCTGAGACCGACAGACTGGTACGGAAGTCCCGGCGCGCAAGGAGGTTTTTGGGCCTCGTGATCCGGAACCGTGGCAGCCTTTTGTTCCCACATATGTAGACGACGCTCCAGTTCCTCCTCACTTATGTTATTCATGATACGTTGAGAGAGGGCATTGATCATGTTTGCAACAATGGTATAAGGGACAGGTTCAGCGTCCGGATGGTCGGCTACGAGCGAAGGAACAGCTGCTACGGAAGATGAATTGTTTCGCGATGGTGGAAGCGGGACAGTGTGATCGGAAGGACAGCTGGGTGAGTCGGTAGACGTATCGCTGTTTCTTTGATCAGAAGGCTATATAAAAAGAAGGTCTCAAATTTACCGTTCGAAAATGTAAGGCTACAGACGAGTGAACTTGGCAAGCCATATGAACTCAGGTACACTAGTACATTTGGTACTCTCTAAACTTTACACTATTCATTCACTTTTACATATTCTGTGAATCACGTCGGGAAAACAACTAACGTTTCTGTTGGAGCAAGTACACAACATCAGCCAAAAATTCAAGTAGGTATACACCTGACGGTTCGTTGAACGCTCATATGAACATTTAGATCAAGGGTAGGGCGTGAACTTTTTCGATCATTCCATTGAAGACCTTAAGGACGTTGTACTGACGAGGCTCATGGTAAATCGAAAACGTGACCAAGTGCACGTTAGTGTGCGATAGATCGCATGTCACCTAACATACAGTCAGTTCCACTGTGGGTTGCATCGTAGCAACCTCACTAACGGGGTGTAAAGTAAAATGTATTCACTTGCATTACCATGCTCAACGGTGATCTGAGCACCCCTGTGAACTGAGATCGGATATCCGGATATCTTTGCTTGCTCCGATGTTTAGCTGAGTCCAGAAACATTGATGCCCCTGGTCAGGGAGAAAATCAGAACGGATCAGGAAGACAGTAGGGTGAGCACGGAGAACATCAGGAATAGTTTTTATCCCATCGGACATTTCAGCCCAATGGTTCTGATTGAGGAATCCCACGAGACCCTTGCGGGTGTTGGTTAGTTCAGCAATCTTGAGAAATCTTGCCAGACGAACCCGAATCCATGCTTCGTGCACAAACGCAACTGAACCAATCATGTAAGACTGCGCAGTACGTTGACAATGAGGCATTGTTACTCGTGATTCCGGCAGTCGGCTGAGGATTATTACAGTTTTTGCTTTCCGTTGATGTAACGACAGTCAAATTCTCACGGTTGGAATGAAAGAGCTGTGGAGTCACAACACCAGTTCTTGAGGTCATTCATTCCTTATCAGGTGTAAGCTAATACTGTCACGCGAACGTTCTGAGCATTATTATTTGCAGTATCACCTCAATTGGCCGGTTTATCAAAACAAATGACAACAAACATGCAACCGAAGAGTGACAGCTGAACCCAAGAATTCCGAACGGCGGAACAAACCAGTGAGATCAGTGCCGGTGTGGTGAAATTATCAAACTTATATCAGGTCACAGCGTTTCTTCATTCACCGACAAAAAGAGACGTGGAGATACATACTGGAAGCGACAGAGTATCAAAAGAGAAAAAAACGCTGTAGGAGTGTTGTACTGATGATTATAGGTAGAGCGTTGAGTTATTGGTTGTTTCGGATACAATGCCACAGAGGACGATAATTCTGCTGCACGAGTGTGGCTGGGTCACAAACCATGTACCGAAATGCAGTGGTTTCAGCTGCTATAGCTTTGTTCACTGAGAATAGGGGAAGTGAGAACCATGCGTTGGAGGTACTGACGCATTATGTAAATTGACGACAATAAGTTCTGTTTGCCAAATACGACAAGAAGTGAGAGATACACAGTGGAGACGATAGCTTCAATGCAACAACGCCCTTGGCTGTTCAATACAGCCTGTCATTGGCACTAAGTAATGCTTAGATGAACTCGAAACTTTAGTGGCGATCGGCTAGCGCCCTCACGCCCTCCCTCTTGCTAGTGGTCCCACCAAACAAACCACCGAGGTTTGTTTGGTAGACAAGGTAGACTCCACAGAAACACAATAGTGTGATTCAGTGCATAAAGGTGTTCTATCGTGCGCCACTTGATTTACCAAAAACCATTCGACACATTACCATATTGATTGTCCGGTAATGTCGCGGCGGAGGTATGAATGGCATTTGTATCGAAAACCCCTGTGGTTAAGGTTGTGGTCCGTATAACGGGATGGAGTTCACGACTGCGTCGTCCAGCTCATAAAACCAGAATTTCCGCAGGAAATCCACTGAGACAGTTTAATTTGCAAAACATGGCACACGTTGATACTCACAAAGAGAAATGGATGACTAAACTTTAGAAGGCACAGTCTTACTCTAAATGGCATGCATGTATTCAAGCTGTTGCCTCCAACGCATAGCTCTCCTCCCGATCTCCCGAATGAAAAGTTCACTGACACCCCTAGATTAACGCATTAATTATATCAGCTGCCGCCTCCGATGTACAGCTACCTAGCCCCCATCATCGTCGAAGGAAAACCAGGCAGCTATAACCGTTGTACAGGAAGTGTGTGGTTTTTACAGCTGGTGATGATGATGAATCAGTTACAAACAGGGCAAAATCGGTCGCGCATTGTTTGGAGATCTGAACGAGTCATCAATAATTACATATAACGAGAAAAAAAAACAGAAAAGTTAGAATATCTCTACAAAATAATTCGAGGCATTCCGTGCGCAGTGGGCTCTATTGAAGACCATGGACAAAAATAAATATGTACAGAACTTCTACAAGTTTCCAGCCGGATTCCCCAGTGGTACTGTTCCCATATTCGTCAAACATAATAAAAGTCGTGAAATTCGATCAATTCGGTATCGAGCGACGGTTACAATAGGTAAATACACCATTGGCACATCCTTTGGAGGCTTTCGAAACGCTTACCGTTAAATGGTCAACCTCCGATACTCTAGCGAGTCCACTGTAGGCAGTGGGTTGAGTCTCTTCCGAATGTCGTACCACACGATGACCACGAATAAGGTCAGGTTTGTGCGGACGAGCAATTCGATGAGAATCAGTTTCATGAGTACCGTCAACGAATAGATTCCTAGGTCGTTCTGATATCGAAGTACGCTGAAAACAATATAAAAATGAAGTGAAATTTCTGAAAAAGCATTTGGCCAGCCAACAGACTGAACTATAGCAACTGCACAAACCCATAATGAAGATTTTTAAAATAATACTTCCAGTCACAGTAGAGATCATCCCCACCTCTCCGTCAGGGGGGCTTACTCTAGGAGTACCAAGAACCCCATGATCTGTAAAAAATGACGACGTGCTTTGAAGCAATAGATGACGGCACCAGCCACCTTAAAACTGCTTAAATGTTGGTCGAATTAATCGGACGAGTCAAAAGTTCAAGCGTGGAGTCTTAACTTTAGTGCAAGGAGAGCATTAGATTTATGCTTGGATCGAAAACAACATGAATGGTCTACCTGATAAGATCCAAGAAGGGCGAAACCGATCGTGGGCTGTCAAAGAGTTTTCAGCAACCTTGTGAGTTGTTTCCTTTATGAAAATGCACTGAGATATCTCGAATATCGTACCAACTGAGGTGGCCTGTGTGTAGCACATTCAGTTGAGTCTTTCGTGAAAACCAAACTGATTTCCAAATGAGTGTAGTTCTCGAAAACAGTCCTATTTGGGTTCAAACAGAACATACGGTTGACGGAAACTCGGGGACTGCGCCTACCTGATGAGCCTAAGAAGGGCGAAACTGGTCGCGGGCTGTCGAAGAGTTTCCTTTATGAAAACATGAGTACCCCCCTTTCAACGGTGACGCTCCTTTGACCACCCCCTCACTCCGAACAAAAAGAAAATTTTTCTACTAGTTGGTTATCGTAGCACATCTATGCACAAATTGCTGGTTTAAATGAACAAAGTCCTGGATGCCAATAAGAATAGAAACATCATTGGCGGCAACACACCAGCAGTAACTATTGGCGCTTAGCTGCCATACAACCACCCGAAGGAGGCACGAAGTCTGGGATACCGCCTGGTTGCTCAAGCCTAGACAGGAGAAGTCGAGAGGCAAAGGACCTTCTGGTCGGTAACTTCACGCTGTGAACACGGAGCCATCTCGCCCAGAACCGGAACAAGAAGCCTCGTGTCCCGGTGAAGAACGAATAAGAAAAAGGTGCTAACACTTTAGAAGGTCCTCACGAAGAACGGATCTGAAGATCTCATTGGCGTATGGGGCCATCAGTGCGTTTGACCGAACGCCCTTCGCGAACCTCACCCAACCTGAGTCAAGCACAGAGGGACAAACTAGCTGGGCACGCCGACTGGGCAGTGCCCGCATGCTCGCGGCCGACACCGGTTACGCGCTGTTCTGTAAGGTGTCATGTAGAAGGGGAATAAAGCGGACCTTTATCAGGTAAACGCGAAGCTTCATACTGCTTAGTTTGACAATATCCGTTCTCATTTCGCGTCGCTATATCGTAGGTTGCCCTCCACGAACATGTGCAGTGTCCTCCTAGCCACATCAATCTGATGAGCTTCATTTATTGCCATAGTGATTTCGATTCATCGTCAAACAGTCGTTTATGCACTATTCAACTGTGAACACTGCAGCCACATGACGCTTGCAGTATTATGAAGGCAGATATGAAGCTTTCTACGATTTTCAGATCGGGGCGGTCAAGTTTCAAAACCACACAGGAAGGTGCGCTATCACTGGATACCGACTCAATTATCCGGCTGATAGATCTATACATTCTGTCTGCCAATGCTGTACGTTCGATTAGATTTGCTGGACATTTATCTCAGGCTATGGCACGGTAGGATGGTCCACAGGGTTGAATGTACTAGCCTAAAGGCGACCCACATCAATATAAATAACTGTTGAGAAAGTGAACCGTACATAACAGCGGAGAGCACAGTGATTATATTTCCATGCGAACTAACCAAAATAAAAGTGCCCGACCGAGCGATGTGGGTAAGAATGATCTAACTGCGATATGGTACGTGACATTCCATCTCAAAAACAAGAGCTCGTCCGTCTCTCAAATGAAATATCAAAATTAAAAAAATACGGAGAATTTGCCATCTCTTTTCGGTCCTGCTACAGACGAAGTGTTGCTTTCTGCACCCAGGTACAGTAAGCCGGTTTCCATTCCCAATGTGTACCTAAGTAAGCTCAGTTAAACCACTCAACCATCCTAAAATTAAGACGCGTTAAACATAGATTTGGTGGCTTTTTTCATATGACAGGCTACTCAAAAGGCCGATGAAAGCAGCCCACAACCCAGCTGATGAATTGACCAGTCTACAGAGTGTATTCAATGCTTTACCGTACTATCTGAGCTAAATGGCCCCGACGATGCAGCTGAAAACACAAGCGCCATTTGCTTAGTAAGGAACACGGGGTTGATAATTAAGGCAGGCCTGAAGTTTAGCCAAAGCGGTTACGCACACGTTCGCAATTAGAAGTCTAACAAAATAACAAGAAGTCGTGCCAGAGAATGGCTTTATTGGCTTAGCAGCCATTTTGGCTAAGAACATGCGTTCCAAATTAGATGCCAGTACCGAACACAAAGATTATATCGCAGGGGATTTCCAGATTCGAGGTGCGTCGCTTAATTAGTCGAGTAACACGGCGCAATAGGGTAACTTTTCGACTTGAAAAACCCCTTGCCAAGACTCGGTTCGTACATTTTTGGGGGAATGACAACATGATCCTTACAGTCTTGTCTTTGATCAATATGGTAATTGGCCAGCGGAATGGGCTCTTCAGGAAACGGTGCTCTGTGGGCAAGCAGACAAGGAAGGGTTATCCGAGGGCCATCAGGACCGATGACATCACCGTAGGGGTCGATAAGCAAACCGGAGGACAGCCCTGCCTTGCGAATTGTGGACTCACAACAAAGTGGGTTCTCTTCATGCTGAGGAAGCAGTTCAGCTTGTACCACCACTTCGTATGATATATGAATAGGATAGTGGGTTAGGGACAAGACGCCCAGGCATTTCCGACAGAATGGTTGTAGCACGTTGCGCCAGGCTCTTGCTTCACTCACTTCCCCATCCTCTGGATGAACATCTTTGCTATTGAGCGGAATTTGATAAGGCTCCTCAGGTGGCATACGGTCAGAGCGCCCTGGTTCGTTTGGATCCCGTTTGTGATGTACACATCGGCAAGCAGCATGGGGATTCCCTTGCCAAATGTCTCTTGGTGGGTCTTCATCGTTTAGTGGCCTCAGGATTGTTAGCTGATCATCGGATAGCAGGTACTCAAGAACACCACTGAATGAGGACGTAGCCAAAGCCCTTCGTTGAACATGCTCAGGTGGCACTGGTTCATGTCGACCAGGGCTCTGAAGAGCAAACTCTTGTCCAGCAATCCTCGGGAGGCGAATAGCCCAGGCCTCTGCCATTCTGTCGATCCCACTTGGGCGTATAGGACCAGTTTGGGAGGCCCAGTGAGCCTTGATGCTCTTGGATGTCGGCCAAGGATTCAACGTGACACGCAGGCAACTATTATCTGTGCCAGGTAGTACAGGCATGCCCGTCTGTAAGCTGTCATCGGTCAGCGAACGTCGACAAATCAGGGAACGCCAGACACGATTCGCACAAGCTTTAACACGCACACATTGATGTACTTCAATTATGAGTCTGTGTATGAGGCGAACAGAGTTATTGTGGAATTTTATATCACACTGAATCGGCTCACCAGGAGCATAGACCACTTTATCCAGCTTCGCTAACAGAGTGATGGCTCCTGCATCGAAACCTGTTCGAGGTCCAACTGCTAAGCAATAATCAGTATGGGACTTGGGGGGAATTATATGGTCTATTCCGACGAGGCGAGGGACATAAGACAATTTTCGAATCTTCAGACAGGCAATATTATCGGTCTTTGGCGCGGAGGAAGCAGTACGGACAACATAGGCACTGATTGTCCAGGACACACCATCTCGCGGGGCTCGTTTCGGGCGTGGCCTCCACGGGTAACAGTCCGGATGAAATAAATCGTTTTCCCACTGCCGCTTTATTTTTTCCTTACTTGGTTTCTTCCGTCGCATTCGAATCGGCTCCCCGGGATGTCTGATTTTGAAAACATTGTCATCGTCGGAGTCTTCTAGTTCACTTGGCGAATCAGGATCCGTGTCCGACTCATGATGTGCGAATCCAAATACAGCTTCATAGAAAAGTCGCATTCGGTTCGGAGGAGGTGATTCCCCATCAGGCGTAGGGTATGCTGTGTTTTTAAGATATACGGAGTCCGGAGCACCATTGATGTCGAAACGAAACGGGAAGTTGTAAGTAACAAATGGGTGGTCAGGATAACCAGAGGAAGCAGTGGCTGCCGTTTGAGGGACAAAAGTGTGCTTTTGTCGCGAGTTATTGCCCATTCCTAGCAACACTCCTGAAGAGCTGAGGACTTCGTCGACCATTGCCTTTCCACTAACCGGGCCTCCCAATTTGGAATAAAGCCGTCTAGTTCGAGTCGAAAACGAGGATAACGACGTCGGTGGACGTCTTAGTGAAGCTGCTCCTTCTTTGGTATAGGTTCGTGGGGGGTTTAGCTGAGTTCGATTTTGAAATACTACTTCGTTAATTTCACAGTCAAAAGGATCCAGTTCAGATCGAGCGTATCTGTACCGAGCGGTGACTTCGACGAACACGTAGGAGCCTATATCCATTAACCATGGATTGACATGCACAATTCCTTCAATAATTCCATGATGAGTGGGTTCATAGTCCGGTCCAGCGTCCGGTAACGGAGGGGCTCCACATTCCGGTAACTCTGAAATTTCCGAACCTGTTTGCTTTTTTCGCTCGTAAACCTCAGCCAAATTGCTCCACACATCCCGATTAGTTAGGTATAAGGTAACTGCCTGCGATAATGACTGCTTACGGAATACGGGGAGCGCGGTACCTTCCCTATAACGAGGAAGTCGAGAGTCACCAGGGTTGATGGCCATCAACAGGACCGGCTGACCATGAAATGAGTCCCTCGTTATAAACAATCGATTGTTCAAAATCAGATCAATAATGACAGCGAACAGCTGACGGTCGGCTTGCACCTTAAAGAGTCGTCTGTGCGTCAGTCAAACTGCACTTTGTATAACTCCGGGGTGCTCAGTCTCAGTTGTGCGACAACAACATAGGTTGTTGTTCGGATTACTAAGTAGACGGGAAATGGCCCCAACAAGTTACAAGGATATCTAACGGCGCAGAGTTCGGCATAACAGTGGGAATACTGCGGGATGCACTGAAAATTCGTAAAAACTCCATTGTTACAGGTAAACAAACTCCACAAAAGCAAGTGGGAGTCCATCTAGAAAGTGAGAGTTGATGAGTTCAACGTTACCCTACCGATTATATCCCGGTTTAGAGTGCTTGATCTGATAGTTGTGTACACTGGATCGTAACACCTCACTCTGTAAGCTGCGACGTCCGACGGTGAACTTTTGCATCCAAGAACAAATTCCTATCCAGGACAGCATACAGATTAGCCAGGAAGAACAATAAAAGGAAACGGTGAGATCAGGATGTTGGATTGTCGAAGTCGTTTGCATCTAAGGAATACCGAAAAAGAGCGTGAAAAGTCCGTTGTTCAGTTTCATATTATGAACAACAATAGGGTAGCACTTTCACATAAAATAAAACTCTATAAAACCATTGGAGACAGAAAAGTGTTGAAGATCCTAAAATTTAAAAACGTCATTAAAAAAGCCGAGTAAGCACATGGTTGGCTCCGTTTAGTCATGCTTACGAAGTAGCTGGACTGACGAGGAGCCAGCCGACAAGTTGAACATAAGATGGAGGGCTTCGGTGAAGTTCATAGATGCGTACTCGGACAGAGACAGACTGGCAAATCTGCGCTGCTTATATATACTACATTAGTCAACATGAGGGTTTCTCAAACGAAACAAAAACAAATCTAGTATTTTCTACGTGATTGAACATACCTACGGACTTCATGTTCGAAAAATGTCAAGCGAGTACGTTCGATTGGCGGGACTGGAGGCAAAATGGGAGAACCATCGCGTATTCAACATTAGATGCTTAAAGCACAGCATCATTCCCAACTCCCTGATTGTGAAACCACCGGATATGTAAGCTGCTTCTGCTAAAATTGCTTTGTCAGCGGCCAAGTTATTCCTCAAGCAGAGGATCTACCTAACCACCCAGCGTTTAACCGATGTACGCCGCCACGCCAGTCAACTCAGCCAAACTCTTCAGACCGCAATCTCAACCACCGACTTCCAGATGCTCAACACCAAAGCCACAGAAGTGAAGCTTGCACAGGGCCGGCAATGCAAGGATAGGCAGATCCCTAAGTTCGAACAACTGCTTTCCATGACTCAGGGCCCCAAAAAAGTCATAGAAACAAAGAAACCATCCACCAATTACTGTAGTGTAGTTAACTTGTTAGATAAACCACTGAGTGAACACGAACGCTGTCTGTTGGAAAAGGGGTTAAACTTCGCTGTGAGCAAAAAAGTAATAACAGCGGGGGAGATAATTCCTAGTGTAGAGTCAGTGTTTCAAAAGCTTCCTTCAGCGGAAGCTGAGAAGCTACGGATACAACTGGTCACAGTCCTGAAATCCCAATAGCCGGGAATTCCAAATATTGCACCATCAGAGCGGACAGCGCTGAACACACTGAGACAGGTAGATAGTATTGTCATTACCAAGGCCGATAAGGGTAAAGCCACAGTAGTGATGAATAAGAGCGACTATCTTCAAAAGGTCAAGCAACACCTCGCCGATGGACCCTACCGACAAATAACCGGTAGCAGTATTACTTCAATAATGAATAAGAGTAAGGTTGAAGTTGGGAGATATTTAAGATGCGTAATAAACCATTTGGGGCAATGTAAGTGGTATCGGTTGTATCCAAAAAGTGCGATTCAACCGCGACTCTACGGACTGCCAAAAATCCACAAGGCAGATGTACCGATAAGGCCAATAGTGGATGGTATAGGCTCGCCGCCGCATGAACTGGCCAGATTCTTAGCTAGTATACTAAAACCGCTCACGGGGAAATCAAGCACCTTCATTAGGAATTCGTATGACTTTGCCAACAAGGTCGCAGGGCTTCCTTTGGAGATGGACGAAGTCCTCGTGAGTTTTGACGTAATATCAATGTACACAAACATCCCTAGGGCAGATGCTCTGGAGGTAACTAAGAGGTTGTTACTGGCAGACACGACACTCGGGGAACGGACACAGCTCTCGGTGGATGAAATAGTTGAGGGCATAAGAGTGTGTTTGAATCTTGATAAGTTTGTTTTTGACACAACTGTTTACTCACAAGAACAAGGCCTTGCAATGGGATCTCCAATATCCCCAGTTTTAGCCAATATTTACATGGAGGACTTCGAACAAATAGCTTTGGCCGGATATCATTGTCCACCCAAAGTTTTTGGCGTTATGTTGACGACACGTTTGTTGTGATCAAACGAGACAACGTAAACAGCTTCCACGACTATCTCAATAGTTTAAACCCACACATTAAGTTTAGCGTGGAGATAGAGTCCACATCGGGCACATTACCCTTTCTGGGCTGTATAACACATAAGGTTGGTGGGAAATTGAAAACGACTGTCTACCAGAAACCAACAGACACGGGGACCGTCTTAAGCTATTCATCAGCACACCCAAAGTCCGTGTACGCCAGCATTGTCTCATCGATGTTTCGTCGAGTTAGAGCGCTGTGCACAGAAGAGATCGACCGGACGGCAGCTCAAATCGAGATTGCCAACAAACTTCAAGAAATAGGATACCCAGTGAGTTTGATTAGGCGACAACTAAGGAAGATATTGGTTCCAGTATCTAGACCCAGTAAAGAATGGATTGGCACAGCAGTCATTCCATATAAAGCAGGAACATCGGAGGTTATTCGAAGATTGTTGAACTTAGCCAACATTGGAGTAGCTTTTCAGAAGGGGAAAACGCTACGCTCAGTTTTGGTGCAATTGAAAGATCCCCTGCCGGCTGAAAGGACTAGGGATTGTGTGTACAAAATTAACTGCAACGATTGTGCTAAGGTTTATATAGGACAAACTGCCAGGGAATTGCACACCAGAATTGGTGAGCATGAAAGAAGGATTAACAAGCCACTAAGGAATGCAGAAGAATACCAAACGCTGGTCAAAGACTCAGCGATGGCGGTACATGCCTTAGACACGGGACATAGAATAGATCTGGAGAATGTGGAAGTCTTAAGACGGGGACTGCGATTCACACCACAACGGCTGATAGCCGAGGCGGTGGAAATCACTAAGCATCACAGCGTGAATAGAATCGAGGGTGTGGAGCTAGCGAGCGTATGGAAAGCGGTCTTAGATAAGCCGAGTTGACACGTGACGGTGTGGTTGTCAATCCACTTAGGATCATTAGAAAAAACCGGGGGGTAGGGGTGGAAACCCCAACCGACCAAAGGTCACAGCATCCCTCCTACACAACTCTCTTAGCACTAGCTCACCCACACAGACTAACAGAAGGTTCAAACGAAGTTCAAGAGGAACCATCAAATGAACCGAACCAGAAGAACTAGACCCTAGGCAGGACCCAAACACATGTAGGTTTCCCCACCGACCCAACACTTGTTCAACCACTCTAACACACTAAAATCCCTCGGCCGACACCCAACAGAGATTTAGCTTGACTTAGCTGATTGGTTCTCCTTCCGCCTTAAATCTCGATCAACCTCGGAACCTAGTCACGGCCTGACGAAGCTTTTGTGTCAAAAGCGAAAAGTGGCCCAGCAATAAATCGATTGATTGTCACCAAACTTTTTCGAAAACGAAAAACAAATCTATATTTTAGCTTAGGTTGACCAAAAGGAAAATGATTGTAAACGGAAACTGCAGGAAAGAAATTGGTCCAAGTAAGCCAAGAACGGTGTGATGAACGCCAACGGATACCTATCGAAGAGCACCTAAACTCACGGTCATGGCAGCGGGAACAAGGAACGATTCTAGGGATGCCTCATGTGCGAATCACTAACAGCCCTTCCGTTATTGTTGCACCACTCACCATCACTGCTTGAAACAAGAGGCCTACACGTGTAGGCAGAAAGCGGGAGCTGAATCTCACTGTCAGCCGTAGTGCAAACATGTGAGGTGTAGAGGTAGGGTTCGAGCCACGGACCATCCGGTCAGAGATTTCCGGCTGCAATCACTGAGCCATTTCCCCCAGATGACTCTCATTCCCTTGTTTTCCTTAAGCTTAGTAGACTGACTGACTGATTGATTGATTGACTGACTGACTGACTGACTGACCGACTGGCTGACTAAGTGAATGAATCAAAAGTCCCTCATAGACGAGCGATTCAGTTAGGCTGTTGAGTCTGCACATTAAACCAAATTATTGAGCAACTATGGGGGCTTCGTGAATTGTGTCTAATTTTGGCTCCCGTAGGACATAAGATTGAAGGGAACTCGGGGACTTCGCCCACCTGATGAGTCCAAAAAGGGTGAAATCGATCGCGGGCGAGGCCGCTATAGATCTCCTGAATTCAATCGGAGTCACTGTTCGTTTGGTCTTGTCAAAGAACCGAAACAAACAGTTTCAAACGCTGTCACCTTAACCATTTTCACGTGTTCCCATGCGCTAAGCCGGTTGTCCTAGGTAGAATGGTTCAGTTTGCCTCTGCAGAGTTTTGGAGCTAGCTCGGGTCAACAGTGCTGCACCGCTTGTTGTTCTGAAGTAATAAATAGGCATGCATTTTTTCACCTTGTGAACGCCTGTATCGTACCGTTAAAAGTGTACGCATCGTGGCACTATCCGAAGTGATCTGCATGCCACCGAATGAACGAAAATTCCGAATTTTAATACTCCGCGTGTATCTCAACCCAGTTTAGTTGGATACATGGTCGATGTGGGCATGATGGCCACCGGATTACACGGTGCAAGAGCTCGTGTGTGAAACCGGTGCTGGATAGAAACAGATGAAGGTCAGCCTATCGCCCTCCTTTGCCTGTGAAATGAGCTTCGACTCAGAATAGACCACCAAGGTGTGTTTTCCTAGGACATGGATAAGACTATCAGTATTCTTCGTCTGACAAACCTGGCCTGACAGATTCCGACAGGAAAACCGTTGGAATTGACCATTATTGTACTAGACAGCTGGACGGCACAAAAACTATTATTTACAGGGATTCAGACACGCGAAGCATCCCCCCCCCCCCTGAGCTGAGTGCCGTTTCGGTAAGACATATACCAATTTACAACCATCGGTGGCCCGGGGTGAGATTTCAAACGCGTGGGTCACTTATGCACGAGTCTTGCATGCGCACTTCGAATATACAATATGCATCGATTTAAGGTCTGTACCAGAGAGTCCCGTTGACCTATTTAAAGTAAGGTAAGGACGTTGGGAACTCCCATGTGGAAGGAACCCTTCAGGTTTGTTGGTTGAGCGGGAAATGTTTGAGGATGGGTATCAATGGACAAGGATATACGAAATTATGCCCAGCCAAAGAATGAGTCCCGCTTATGTTCTCCAAGCATAAGCTCTTGACTCAAACCGACAAGTCGGCGGGTTTCACGTTTTTTTAGCCAGCAGTCAGTAGATTGGAAGTCCGACCCATTCGGCAATAAGGGGTTAGTCTGACCCGAGGGTGCAGGAAGGTTGTGTGGAATTCTGGTTCCTGATGCTGCTGAACGCAGCATTTGCGTCTGGAGCTGTACGGAGCTACTGGAAGGATTAGGATGCTTTTCGGCCGCATTAAATAGCTCGCCGGCGACCACAGGTAATTTTCGAGTGATCGGGGCGCACGACAGGCCTTTTCTAACCAGTGCTGCATCGAAAAAAGTAGCATCGTTGCTTCCATTATTAATGAAAAACTGATCACCTGCTTACATACTCTCATCGCTGAGGACAGCACGATTTTACGCCCAGCTAGCCTAATAAGGTGAATACTCATAGCACGAGGCTCATCACCCTTTGTTTGCTTGTTACCTTTTGGCCTTCCTAGCATTGTCCAACCGTAACTAACAGTATCCCACCTAGTATAGCCCACAGGATCGCAGGATCAAGCTTGTTAGCAGCTCATTGTCACCGATGGTCACCGGAGACTGGTTTCACTGCATTGGGCAACTCGATCAGAATAGACACAGACTAATGAAAAGTAAACTTACGTGAACGTTACCCCAAGCCTCTGCGGCCGAAGCGTTCAAGCGATCTCCCTCCGCCGTTTGTATTAACTCTTTATATATGTGTGCCATTTCATGCGTTGCCAGGAGCCTAGGGTTGCTGCGCCAAGCTGCAATCGAATAGATATCTGACGGCGAACGCTGACCTGGTTGAAAGTTTGCTTTAGAAAATGCATCTGCCACAAACTGCGGCTGAGTGACTTGCTCGTTAGTTTTCTCCAAGGAGACGCTGGATACTCCTCGAGGGGGCACTACCTGCGCCCACAGTATTTGAGGAAACAGAGAAAATTAATGGGTGTTAATCCAATGAACGTCCTTGTATGGGAGTTGACACCGCAAAAATGATACCACACCTAGGACGGAATATCTATCATTATCCAAATCCCTTGGTGTATGTCTTATATTCTGGTCTATAACAAACAACAAAATAGCAAAAGTTAATAACTAATTCAACATTAATGAAGAACGAAAACCTTAGTTGGAAGGGATTTCGACTGCACCCAACCATATGAATCCAAAAAACTGAAGAAGTACGACTAAAACTTCAGAAATTTTCTGAGAGCCTAAGGATTTAGTAGTATGAAAATGGTTCAGCTGTAACACACTTTCAGTGTCTGGTTGGAATAACAAGAAGGAAGAATAACAAGAAAAAAGCAAGAGGGCGGAGACTATCCAACTTTCAGTGTCTGGTTGGAATAACAAGAAAGAAGCAAGAGGGCGGAGACTATCCCAGGTTATCCAAGCCTAGAAAGCAGTAGTCAAGATAACGGATTCGGACCACACGCCTTTTGATCAGCCAGTCCACGCTTCCTTGCGGAAATTTTGCCGAAATCTCAGTATACGACCATACAAAACTGAGATTGTTTCTGATTCTATGGAACGGGGAATCTTGTGAAAGCCAAAAAAGATTCTGACAGAACCATGGACATTTGGCGGCTAAAGCTCTTCACAGAAACCGAAACAAAATCAGCCGAACTATCTGAAGTGCACACCATTAAAATTAAATCTACAGTCAAAATGCTCACTGAAAAAAGGTGAGATGGAAAACTTACAGATGAAGCAGCAACATCAGATGTTTCTCGTTCAGGGCGCTCTCCACGTTTCCAAAACCGATTTTTCCTTCTAAATTGGCCGAGCGTGTGCTCGCCAAAGAGAAGACCGATACCTCCAGATAAATAGGGTGTGGACTGCTCGTCGTGATCGTAACGAAACCGCCGTGGTAGCAAATGACTCAAAGCAGATAACGCGGCTTGTCCTCGTGATGGCCTAGGGGTCCGAAGTCGTGTCGTGGATGGTTCATCTCCCTCGCGCAGAGCTTCTTGAGAGGTTATTTTTGCTCCAAACGGAAGAGATCCAAAGGACTTAACCTTTTCGATCCCCTTTTGGTGCTTCTTGTGACGAAAAATGCTAAAGCGGCCCCAGCGTTTTGGCTTCGATCCTGGTTGACGCAACATTTGATTCGGAGCGGATGGGACACTTACGCATCTTCCGAAAGCAGTACTTGTAGGTACAGAAGTTTCCAACATGCCGTTTGGTGGAACACAGCTCTTACCACGGGCTGCCTCACTGCCCATACTACGACTACGCAACACCGAAACATGGGCATCAGTCGGCAGGAAGGATGCAAGTAATCCACTAGATCTTACGCGCGAAGGTGTGCGAGAAGTGACGTCAGACGTGAGAGAACTTTGTGGCTCGACACTGCTAGAAATAGAGAATGCGCTGTGTTGCCGTTCTACAACATCAAATTTGTCACCGTCTGAAGCCTCATCATCTCCCACAACGGACGGGCAGCACAAGGGCACGAAATGAGATGGACTGATTGGTACTTCTTGAGGCGAAGGCGGTCCACTAACTTCAGAGGAAGCTACCCAAATAACAGAGAGGAAACAAACGAGGGTTGAGGAAACGTGACTTAACATGAAGACCTTAGATAGTATGTCTACTGAAACACCACGGAAAAAAGTAAGGAAGACGCACCAGTTCTCACTAACGTGATCTCACTGCGACTAGGAATTCTCAGACTATTACGAGTGAAAGTTTTAAGTCGGAAAACACCAAAGTGCTGAGTGAGCTTCAGAAATAGTAAGAATGGAACAACGTCAATAGGTAAATCCTCAATGAGGTAGATAAATACAAAGACCCCTGAAAATGTCACGTAGGCCCAAAGTAATCACGCCCCACAAAGCTCGCAACCCACACACCGTGGTGTGGACTTTATCCCGTTTTTTATTTGTTCAGCCTATTCATTTAATTCGAAGATAAAGTAGTGTAGATCGGTCAGACGCAGTCATTACGTGATCATAAGATTGAAGGGAAACCCAATCAATAACCCAACCATACACCATAGGCCCGAGTTTAAAATAGGTAGGCCATAAAATCTACGGTAGACTTGGTCATGTGATCAAGATGGCCACTCGAGGGTGCGCTGTTTCGAAGTTGGAGGTTCATTGAACCGTGTTTAGGGGACAGTCTATTTCTCCTGATACCCATCAACTGTCAGCTAAACGTTCATGTGAGAGATTTAACACCTGCCGAAATGCAGGCGCAACTCGGGTTCACGCATACAAACTACGGGGAAATGGAACCCTTTACACAGTGAAGCCGTGCACCAGTTAGATGAATGACTGGACTAGATGGCGTAGGGTGAGAAAACACCATTCACGTTGCGTTCAGTTTGTTGGATACAAATCAATGATAAAAAAAAGCAAGAATGGGTTTGAAAACGACCGACGACACACCACAAAGTTTTACGGAAACATCATTATTGTAAGTCAATTATTTTATCGAGTACAGTAAAATAATTGTCCGTAAACCCGATATTGATAACAGTACCAGTGGTTATTGTGCCACCATCAATACCACTGTCTTCGATTCACCATTCTTCCTTAATTTCTTCATCGCTGAGCCAGACATTGTACCACTGTTTTCCGGCCTCTTGGCTGATGGTGACTGCCGGTTTAGCTTTGCGGGAGAGCATCGGGCTTGAGAACATTCTAGGGAACTCTAGTGAAATGCAAGGCACGCAAAATTCAAAAAACTATGTGCATCAGTAGATGCAACGCGCCACTCATAAGGTTACTGGAAACTCTTCCACAACTGCGACCGGTTTCGCTCCTCAGGGGGATCATCAGGTGGGCGCTGGCCCCCAGTTTTTCTTCAACCTATGCCGCACTTGAACCCAAATTGCACGAAATTCGACTTATACACTCATTTGCACATCAATTTGGTCTTGGTGGGATAATCATCTGGAATCCAGCTGAATATCTCGTTTGTGATGTTCTCAGTTAGTATCATCATTGATAGTGGCATTGCTGTACAACATGTCAATTTATCCGAGGAAAACCTTATCATGGAAAGAAAAAATGAGATAGGTATGGGGGGCTATGGTTAGCCCACTACAAACAAACGAGGTGCCTCGAACACTCAGTTGAATAATCTGAGTAGAGACCGATATCATGAACGCCACTGACATAGGTTAGCCACCATATAGTGCAATGTCTCCAAACAAGAGCAGACAGAGTCACGTGGAACCCATCCTGGAAGGTGAACGGCACCAAACGCACCCCAACTTTTCGTGACATCCATCATCTCTTTGTGCCATGTCGGATTCTGGCCACCACCAGATTTCGTCCGCTCCGAATTAGGCATGGAAAACAACACTCTTTTCGGTAGGCGCTAGTCCAGCCACCTGAGCTCGCAGTGGTGGATGCATTCTCTAAATGAAGCGCCGTTGTCTTACCCGAAACCCGTCTCCTGATCACCTCATGCTGAACTCGCTAGTTCGAACCCATTCCAGACATAGCTGTGAAACATCCGTGGTCAAAGACTTGAAGAATTCTGACACGCTCCGCTCGAATAGACCAAGGCTCGCAGCCGCATAACAATACAACCTGGACTGTGGTTTGTTATACGCGTCCTTCGAAACCCAGTGACATACCTTTCTGATGTCAAACATGATTTTGCGTACCCTGTTGCGCGAGCCTGTGGGAAAGAATGAAGCGGTTAGCGGAATCGAAAGCACCCTTGAAGACAATGAACGTCAATATTGTAGGGTCATTATACGCGTACCGTTGCCTAACACTTGACGGAGTGTGAGAACGTGGTTCACACAGCCTATGCAGGCCGGAATCCTGCTTGCTACTCTCTGGTTTCGAATTCATGCTTTTTCGTGAAACGACCTAAACTAGACGATGCAGTGGTTGTCACACATCGCGACCACCCATTCTGTAAACGGCCGCCACTTCGACTCAGCGCGGTTGGTTTGTGTGGTCACTTTCACCCAGATAGCGGCAAATAACTCACACAAACAACAACAGCATATTCAATGCCCGCAGTCTCTTTGAAAACCGACACTGCTATGGCAGTAAACTTGGGAACTGCAACCGCTTCGGAAGTAAGCGAACATCTTTCGTCCCGCGAGATTCACCGAGCTGCTGATCCTGAGGAATTCCCAAGTTCCGTTTAAGGGTAGGGACGAAATCCTCCAGCGTTGCTTGTCTGTTATTTGCTGCCATCTAGTCAAAAGCGACCATCTGGAGTGGGTCGATACTGGCGCAGGTTTACCAATTTAATGAGCAGAGTTTCATGCCACTGGGGGTCACAAGACACCGTTTTTATCTGGCATGCAGAATCGATAAAGCGGAAGGGAAAATGACAGCGATAGGGTAGGAGCCTTCTTCCTCCCGATTTGTTGAACGTTTCTGTTTAGTACCGGGCGAATACTGCGCGCCTTTGTGCTAGCTTCTGCTTTAATGGTGGTTGTACAGCTGTTTCAAAGGCAACTGGGACTTCGGAATAATGTGAAATGTGTGATTCTGTTGTCTTCAGCTCATCGCTAACCTGGATCATATTCGATTGCGCTTACAAGCTATGTTTCTCCATGGAAGAGCACACATCGTAGGTCTGAAGACTAATAATAATTTTTCATTTTCAGTACCCATCCCAAAAGGAAACATTTGTCCAGGTTGGAGATCAAACGTTCTTCTGTAGCAGCGCCCGGCTACGTTGTGTCAAAAGTGTGCAGGATACTTCTATATTTCTGAAATAATACTATAGAGTCTCAAAGAAAAGCTTTCAAATAAATGGGTCTAAAATACATTCGTAAAGGGTTAACAAGAATAGACTCACTCGATATCAACTGTATCGGATATCTTGGTACACTGTTCCCCTTATCATCTGGCTTGAAGGAAGTAGGCTCAAAAGTCGATTCGCTCGCAGGTGATTCCGAAATGTGAAAATTACATGTTGTGTTCTGCTTGGTAGAATCAGGTGGCTTTAAGCCGTCTGGCACAGTTTGCCCACATAAGCCACAGTGAGACTTTGAAGGAGTACCAGACTGCTCAAAAAATAATCGACGGAATAATGTGCATTTACTTGTGGCCAGGGTTCTCGGAGACTGAATTTCTTAAGTTTATGATCAATGTTAGCTGGTTCAGGTTGGACAGTGGCACAAGACTTTCTGGCCTGGGTCGCCGACTTGGGACGCAGAGCACTTGCATGTGAACCATCGTCATCAATATCCAAGTAGGCCTCAAGGAGACTGAGAGCCTCCTGGGCAACGCTTGCAGCCCGACCAATAGGCTTCATCAGGTATGATGAATTTCGAGATTTAAGCCATTCGGATCTATAAGAAGTAAAGTTAGATAGTGATAAGATGAAAACGTGAACAATCGAAAGTTACTTCTTACGGTGCCAAATCAAGGTTCAGAACTGAATGACCTGTACTGCGTCCTCAAACATCCCATTAAAACCACAAGGAATACTTGCTAATTACTGGGATTTGTACATGATTCTATTAAAGTCCACCATAGTTTCAACTTTTGATATGAGCCAAAAAAATATTCATTCGTGACCGTCGATTCTCGAGTTAAAACCACAAGGAATACTTGCTAATTACTGGGATTTGTACATGATCCTATTAAAGTCCACCATAGTTTCAACTTTTGATATGAGCCAAAAAAATATTCATTCGTGACCGTCTGATTCTCGAGACATTTTTCGAAGTAGTATTTTTTCCGCGCACATGCAGTGCTCGGAACTTCAAACGTATGGGCGTGTCCAGTCAGTCTGTCAGTTTTAAAGCATTGGTGCCAGCTTCATTCACCGAGAATAAGGAGAATAAGGAAATCAGAGTCACACATTGAAGGCGATGGTCCAAACTGTGCATTGATGAGTAGTCCGTCCGCTGTCCAGTGTTCGTGAGCGAACGCCCCGGGAGTATTTAAATCCCCGAGGTTTCCGAGGTAGAAAGAGGATATTCAAGAAGCATATCCATTACGAAGTTGAAGACAAAGGGTGACAGAGGATATCCATACCTGACATGACTGGATGTGATGAACCCAGGAGAGAATTCGTCATAGATGTGTACACGTTCACAGGAGAATGTGTGTATCGCCTTTTTGAGACAAGAATGTAGAAGGGATACCCTTCATCTCCAGAGAGTAGCACAGTTTCGGACGACCAGCAGGATCAAAAATACATTTGAAATACAGAAATATGTCCACTGTTGGTCGTTGGAAGGAATGGCGCAGTCCCAACACTTGTCACAAGATGAAGATATTATGAATGCAGTCCCAGTCAGGGGAAATCCAGCCTGACTATCGCCAATCTGCCTCTCCCAATGACAGATCAAACCGTGTGGAATAATATCAGAGAGCACCGTGATTTCGAGACCTCATCATGTGGTATCTTGAAGGGTATACATGATGTAGGTAGAAATGACTAAATAGAACAAACCCAGGGAAATGAAATAACATTGGTGAACCCAATTAGTTGTGGAGGAAGCTTTTGAAGGATCACTTTAGAGCCAAACGCAACCCTAAGTGTGGGTCAAGATAGCTCGAAGAGCCTTCACATTGCTCGTTGGCCGATTTACGTATGGGATCGAAGGCCAATTTGGAGTCAAGAGGGACCGCCACAATTGATCGACTGTATGTGACGATGATCAGGCACTTGACGTAATGTAAAGATATGGTTAATGTAATCCCTACTTGGTGCTCGGATGCGCGTGATTAGGTCATGTGTAACGGTATTATCAGAGCAACTCATACCTACACAGTTGGAGGATTCGCTTCGGATACCTCTTCTGGATAAACGCGTTGCGACTGTCCTGTTTGTTGGAACGGATTCTTGTTCTGAAATCAGCTTCAACGACCTGATCACCACCTTTTGATAAACGCAGGTGACATCCGGCTCTGTGACCAGACAAGGTATAATGACACAAAGGCGTAGTAGAACTTCAGAAACTAAAATAATGTCTGCGAAACAACGACTTAACAGCTTACACTGACTAAAAATCAGTTCCTAAAAATAATTATTAATGGTGAAAATGAGAACAATAATCGTTCAGGTATAACACCTATTCGGTGCTAAGCTGCAATGACACCCGAAGGAAGGACGAGGGTTGAGATAGTACCAGGTTGCCCAAGCCTAGAAAGAAGCAATGCAGATGCCCAGGTTGGGTTCGAAACACAGACCTCCGATCATTAAGTTCGCGCAATGATCCAAACTCTCTCCGTTCAAACATACCACGAAGGCCAACGGAGAACAGCCCGAAGTACAGTGAGTACCCATGCTCCAAGAAATCGTAGTATGAGTTCCAGATGTAAAACCGTACCATCATCTGCGATAGAGGTATGAAGACGACTCTCATGCCCATATTTATGGAAGCAGCTGCCCTGCTTTCCTAGAGGAAGGACGGGAAGAAATGAGCATGACCCTAAACAACACACTCCGATCGTCCAACGGTGGACCGTAACTGCCTGTGCATTATTCAACACGACAGGAATGTTTTTGAAACCAAAGCGTCTGGTGCTGCTCAAAAGGTGCCTGCTGTGCTCAGCCGTATTAGGAGTCTGAGAGTTATGCTCTACTCTGTACATACTCGGGCTAGACCAGCCTCCTGCAGCTAAACGAATCGGACTAATAGGTTAGTAGCTACGGTGGGGCCCCCGCAATAAAACCCCAGCAGCCGTCTCGCGCTCCAGACTTTTAAATCATAAGCTAGAGGCAGGGTCCGCGAACAAAACACCACCTTCTCCCACTGGTTTGTGGGTCCGGCTTTTGAGTCGAAGGCTCAAGGTGGAGTACCTCAACCAAACTCCCTACATCGGCCAGGACAAATGGGAAGTATTTTCAACGTAGCAGCTCATTGTTCACTGGCTCCTGCCCACACGTCCCTTACTAAAGTCCTGATGCATTTAGCTGCAGTTGCTGCGTATGTAGGCTTCTGTCCAGGAAAATAGGCCAAACTAAAATTCTCGTTGAATCCAAGGTATCTGTTCCACATCGTTTTTAGCACGCGCGTTCATGCCCATGCTCGTTCTATCTCTCGACTGATGCGTGCTGTCTCTGAAGCACACATATAAGACCTCACTTCTGTCGTGCACCTCAAGCCGCTTAGGACGAGCTCGGATGTTGCACATTTCACTCTTCGGATATCCGGTTATACTGATCCGCTGGCTTGTGGTATCTACAGTGTAGAAGTTGAACTAATTTCCCAGACTGAAAACGCTTTTCTGGACCGGACCCCAGTTGAGAGTAGTATATGCGCTATACGGTTGTCTGGTTCAATTAATATGAGGTAAACAGTGTTCGTCTATTCTGCCAGCCTGCACTCCCACAGACTGCAGTCTCGAATTCGAGAAGCGCCAGCTTTATCAAGAAATGTTGCGACCGCTTCGGTCAGCAAGAAAAAAGATACAGTAATTCTGACGGGTAACGGGAAAGTCTAAGTTGGACGAAAAGAAGGAAGGAAGATCGTTAAGGAACTGGTTTGGAGTCAATGCTTAGCATACGGATAATGGGGACGACTTATTCAGTTGTGTGCTGTACATCGTCTGTTTCTAGCCACTATGAACTCAGCACATAAGTACTCACACTGAGTTACATGGAAGCGAGTAACCGCAATACAGTCATGGAGTAAGCTCGATAATGTGATTATCAGTTACAGATTTGGGATCTCAAGTAAAGATTGCCGCTCCTCCTGAGGTGCACAAATTGACTCCGATCACACCATTGTGCGGGTCCGGTTATCACTTAGATTTCCGTCAGCATTATGTGTACCGAGGAACAACTCCGTTCGACAACCCTGACAAGTTTCAGTAGCTCAGGAGTATCGAGCTGCTCCGGCTAGAAAGCTACTGGAGACACACAGAAATGCTGCTGACGAAGACCGCTTGAAGGCTGAATGGAGGCTAGTTAGATAAACCGTGCTTTCGGCTTCCAGAACTGTATCCAAGCCATCCAAATGAGCAGTGAATATCTTCGAGATTAGCACACCTTATTGCTGCTAGGAAGGCCATATCAGCAACAAGCGTCTATGATAGCGCACACCGGGAAATCGGGAGCCTGAAGAACGATAGAGAATTCTGGGGGGTTTCGAAGGCCCAGAGGATGGGGAAGGCTTTCGCTGGAGACAAAGATAGTGCACCGTTTCAGACGATTCTATCAACCACGAAACAACAGCGAAACAATTCATCACAAGGCTTTCCTTTTGAGTGATGGGCTGAACATTTTCGAACGGGACAAAGCTTCTGATTCGGATGTTCTGAGTCCCGAACCTCTGGAAAGCGGTGCGACCCTCTTGCGGACAATTGGGACGAAAACAGAATACCAGTGGAGTGAAGCGCCTCGAGGACCATCTAGATCGCGCAAAAGGTCGTGCAAACACCATCGTGGCAGCAGCCTTGTAGCCATTGCATCTCAAGTGCTCTGCGACATTATTTTGCTAAGATCGATAGTTTATCGGCGGAGACATCCTGATAATCAAGGTGAATTTCACCCTGGCTGTGTGTATCCAAAAAATGATATGATCGTTGAGACGTCCCACCCTTTCTGTGTCTAGCTGTCATGCCACCAGAAGGAAGCACGACGGCTAGAATATTGTCAAGTTGCCCAAGCCTAGATGGGGGAAGTTGAGAAGAGATCGGGTTCGAGCCACGGACTTCTCGCGCTCTAACCACTGAGCCATGTCGCCCCTGTCCAGCAAATATTTACCTTGGGGAAATTTATGGAACGGCGCGAGCCTTTTAACTGTCTCATGTTGGCCGTTTTTCATGATCTGAGGACTGCTTTTGATTCTATCGACCTTCAGAGGCTTTGGAGGTGTCTAGGGACTAAAGGTGTGTCATCCAGATTTACACCCGCCACGAGGGCATAGTGCGCAAACTCGTGGGTGCGTGTGAGTATACGGCAGACTTTCATCATGTCCAGTAAGGTAAGACAAGGCTGCCCCATCTCACGACTCTTCTTCACCTTTGTTATTGATCTACGGATTGAAGTTCCTGTGCCTGTATCTGGAACCTTGGGGCCTGGTAAGCTCCAGGAGTGTTCGTCCAAACAGTGGGTATGTGGACGATTCGCTTTCTTTGGTTCACATCCCTCAGAAATGTAAACCATTTCAAATAACCTAAATGATTTTGCTGCACGATTTGATATGCGTTTCAAAGCTACAATGTAAATTGCTGCCACAAGACTGGGTGGAATCGAACCAAAACTTGCAGACAAGCCAATCGATGTGGTAGATGAATTTGTTTACCTGGACATTTGCATGAGTTCCCGTCGACTAGCTGGAGGCTATATAACCTCTCGAATCGGGTGGGCCAAGGCAGAAGTTGCTAACCCCCGACTTTTGTGACGTCAGTATGAAATCAGCTCGACCGTCAAGGCTACAGTACACAGTGCCACAACCTGACACTCATGGTTCTACTCAGGGGTCCAGTAGTTAGAGCGCGAATTTACTGACCGGAAAGTCCGTGGTTCGAACCCGACCTCTCCCTCTCGACTTCCATGTCTACACGTGGGCACCCTAGAATGCCAGTTAGGCACCGAAGTGGTGCTGCAGCTGGATGATTTTTAGTGGAGCAGAAACATGGCCCATGGGTATTGAAGAGAGCTACGTGTTTGACCATCAGTATCTCTGAAGCATTGCGCGGATCTGGTGGGAACACCAGTTTGGTACTACTGGGGTGGGTTGGATGGTTTCAGGAGGGGTAACTCGCTTTGGATATATTCGTTGCTCAAATCCCATGGGTTGCGCTGGTTAGGACACGCACCTCATAGGCCAGAAGATTGCTTCACAAAATCCTCTTCGCGTAGTCATGCATCGGATAGAGATGACCGAGGGCTGTCAGTCCATGAATTGGGAACCCAGCAAGCAAGCAACTGTGGGTCAACTCAGCCGCGCTTGTAACTGCCATCCCGCAGCACTGGGATTTCGAGACAAGACTAATCAATGTTTAGCTACCCTGACAGGTATGACGGTCGCTCAGCCAATGGTGATCCTGCATCACAGCTACCACCTCCACTGCACCGCTCTCTTTCCGCAGGGAAAACAAAACCAACCAAGGTCAATTAGT